ACACACACACACACACACACACACACACACACACACACACACACACACAGAGCCAGAGTCTAATATTGGAGGAGCCCAAATTTGCTAGTGCCTTGAGAAATTGAAAGAAGACATCCAAGAATTCTTCCGACCCTGTAGAGAATGTCCCCCGACTGTACCCAGTCTGAACTGTGCAACACAATTCCCACTAGCTTAATCAGGATCAAGAAATTAGGTGTCCACTGAGTGGGTTCCTTTGGAAAGTGCGTTCTGAGAATACCTAACATATACTGTCAGGATGAGACCTCACAAAATGCAGTCTGTGGATATGTTTATTTTTACAACTCAGTCATCAAAGGAAAAGTGCATGATGTACAGTTATATCATACTTTCCTATTATAGTGTAGAATAGCCTTGTAATTAAAGCAATTACTCAGGAGGATGGATACCTGGGTTCTAGGCCTTACCCAATGCAAGAAGGTTGAAACCAACATGTCCTACCACCCAGCGGGGCTGAGAAGGGCCTGGAACCCTGCTAGAAAAAACTTCCCTGCCCAATGGATTTGGATGCATGGTAAGCACCACAACCAGCTCCTATTCTCCGGGCCAAATTTTTAAAATAAAAGCTGACACTACTGCACTTTGTGAAGGACCTACGATTTCTGTGTCGGTTAGGTGTACTCTGAGCACGTAGAGAACTAGTTTGAAGACCCTGCCATAACCACCTCTTGTTCCTCAGACTAGAGTTTTAAAAGAAAACAACGATCTTGCCACATTTAACTACACCAGCCCCAGTTAAGTGCAAATGAGGCCTAAGAATTGAGATTCATTTTTATATTTATTGCCACATTACCCCAAGTGACTTCTGCTTTTATGCAAAATTCTGTTTATTGTCATCTCATCTACCAATTCCTATCCATCTGTCATATTCCTGTTGCACCCTGTATGAAACAAGCTCTGGGCTCTCTAAGGGCACAAACATCTGTTACTTGTTTGTGTAGTATCTACACAAAATGGGACCCCTGACTTGGCTTCCTAAGCTGCTGACATAATAGAAACATGCACAAATAAAATGTAGAAGGTGCTGTCCAACACAAGATGACAGCATCTGCCCACAAAGCACAGTTCAAACAGGTTAAGGAATGGAGGGGAGGCTGGGGGGAAGCAGGAGGGGCAGATTCCTCCACCTCTTCTAGAATTCAAACACAACCTCTTGATGCCACACACAAGAAGACATGATTACAGGTGTGGAATGAGAGGCTGAAAGAGATACTTGACAGTGAAAAAAAATGGACATTCCAGCGGCTGACAAACCATGGCAAAGGTAGCAATGTCTCAACCACCTACACACCAGAGAGGGACGCTCCAAGAAACTAATTGAGTGGGGCTATACCATCGGTTCAACCACCTGTGACTGCAGCACAGCCTCCGACTATGCAACACCTGCTGCAATGCCCATTGATTGAAGGCACATGCACATTGAAATATCTCACAAAGCACAATAAATGAGAACAAGCATAATGGTCAGCCTCCATTAAGCTGCAAGTGGATCGTGTTATGTAGCAGTAAGAGAGGTGGCCAACAGGACCCACCAGCTGCCAACTGGACAACTCTCTTATAAATGATAAAAAGACTCTACTGAATCAAACATTTTAAAGTCTCCTCAAGCAATACAAAAGTTTATAAAGGCCAATAATAAAACTGTCCCTTTGAAATTTATTTTAATGATCATTTACAGTAGAATAAGGGCACTGCTCTGAGTTACAACTTTACTCTGCTCCAGTATTACTGTTTGATGTTAAAAAATTGAAATTAGGATCATCCCCCGCTGTAAAATCTAGTGCTTTCGAAGTCAGATGAGGTTTTCCAAATAAGCTGAACAATTTATTTCTATACAGTGGCTTGTAAACTAAGCAAAGAGCTTAATTTAGCTGTATAATTAAAGAAAAACATGATCCAGACAACAAAACATTTGACACTTGTCAGATATAAAAGTCCTTAAATCATAAAAATCCCTTTATATTTACTATTCTTTTATAGCTATTATTTACTGTTTTTCCAGTAAGCAGGTAACTTAAAAATAATTTTTACTGCACGTGAGATCTGTCCCTCGGTTTATGGAAAATAAGCTCAGATCCACAAAGGTTTGTTCTAATTAGTGTTTTTGTGGCCACTAATTAGCCCAAAGTATAAAATTTCCTACAGAAATCAGAAGGAGATAGGTATAAACAGAAAGAGAGGTCCCAACACTGTAACAAGTAGCAGGGTGGCAAAGGCCTACAGCAAGGCAGCAGCCCTACATTTCA